GAGAGAGAGAGAGAGAGAGAGAGAGAGAGAGACCAGACAGGGAGGAGAGTAGAATAGAGGACAGTTGGCTACATCGCTCCTCACACACAAACGGAGGTGGAGAGAGGAGAGGATGAGAGACTGTGGGGGAAGGAGAGGACAAAAGAAGACCGCTGTGCCGTTCATCACGCCGTTCCAAAGAAGTGAGGCTAGACAAGACTGACGCTGAACGAGGGAGCTGGCGTGACTTTGTGATTTTGAAGAGAACAGAAGAAAAGGATAAAAGAAAAGAGCGTGTTTTTGTCTTTCAGGGAGGGGGCTGAGCCAGAAAGCAAATGAGGGAGAAAGAGGAGAAGGAGGAGAATTGTCTGGCACTGTTTATATATTAACGTGATTATGATTTGAACATGGAGGTCGTTCGTTTTTACCTAAAATGTGTCTCTCTCGTTCTCTTTTTAATCCAAGGACTTAGTGGATGAAATAACGCTCTTACTTTCTGCAGCAACTACACCGTGAGGACAAAAAAAGCTCTTTAAATGATTTTACATTGACTTTTTTAGATTACAACTTACGAACTCTTGTATTTTTAATGTACAAAGTGATGTCTGGTATTGAAACAGTATTTTTGGTGTTACTTAAGAGTTATGCAGACAAAAATCAGGTTTTTTATGCAAACCTTTTAGATATCTTTATTTGTAGTGTATAAACAGGTACTTTCATAGATATTGGTAGATATTTAATAGATATCAGGACTACTTTTTAGCTTTTGCTAGTTCTGCTGTCTTTAGGCGGAAGTGTGCATGAGGCTGTCTAAAGAGAGTGTGTGTGTGTGTGTGTGTGTGTGTGTGTGTGTGTGTGTGTGTGTGTGTGTGTGTGTGTGTGTGTGTGTGTGTGTGTGTGTGTGTGTGTGTGTGTGTGTGTGTGTGTGTGTGTGTGTGTGTGTGTGTGTACTCGAGTAATATTTGATTTTCTCATTTGGACCGGTGCCACGACTGCACTCTGTGCATGTGTTCAGATGTGTGTCTGGTTCTTTTTGAGTTTGGATGTCAACACTGATCACCGCTGTGGTGTTTGTGGCAGCAGCGGTTGAACTTTCCTGTCCTGTGCCAGCGCTCGCTGCGGAACATTGATTCATGCTGGCTCTGAGCTCTCGTGATTGGACTGGGAGAGAGCCGACAGGTTTTGTGATGGCGAAACTTGTCGGGCTTTGTTTGGGTTGTGTCACGACTCTGTCTCGCACGTTTTTTCCTCAGTCTGTTACCATGGTAACGGTTTCATTGGCATGTTAAGTTCTCAATGCTTTATCTTTTACAACTTCAGCGCTAGCGTGTTGCAGTGTCTCAAGTTATGCTTTTAACCGGACTCTATGTTCAGTGTCGCCAGTATTAGGAAAGAGTCGTGCCTTCAGACCTTACGAGGGTTCAAGGTGCTCACTCTGAATCTTTAGTTCATTCGGCCAATCTCTAAATCAGAGTTGCCATATCCAACATCAGACGTATCTTTTCACTGACCATCAAAATCATTGATTTATGATGTTTTATATTGAAATGGTGTAGTTAAACTCAGGTTTTTCCATTTGTGCTGGAGCTCAACTGCACTAATTCAACATCTAATTTAGGACAATGAGATTAGCCATTTCGGCTCACATTAATAAAAATATACAGTCTAGCCTATTAACTACACCTGTGCTTGACAATAATCTCTCTATGTGGTTGGCTTACTTGCCTTTGGTTTCACTTCAGACGAACAGGAACCTCTCAGCCTTTAGATACAGTACAGCCACTGTTGGGTTGGCAACTCGTTCACTCATGTGTACTGGTTTCTGAAACAACCCATCATATCAAAACAGGGATTTTGCCATATTCCTAACCGACAGGTGCTACACCCAAGCTAGGTTACCATAGTGTCTTAAACTGTTATATTATTTAAATGTTTTTTTTTTTTTATAGTTGGATTTCTACTTTTCTGTACAGGTTCTCCTAAACACTGTGCTATTTCTGTGCCATGTTGTGTTGAGTCTGTTGACGTCTATAAAGTCCATGACACGATGAGCGACTCTGTAATACAGCCAAGTCTGGGACACTTCTGTGTAAGTGCACAATAAATAAAATGAGCAAAGCTGTTTGGACTATACTGAATACAGTGAGCTCTGCAGCACTAAACTACTGGTTCTGTGCCATGTCGTCGTGATACGGTTTACGAACTTCTCGTCTCGTAACTTACTGCGCTTTGTCAACCAGGTCTGAGTGGTTCTCTTTACAGGTCCTCTGTGAGGAATCTCTCCATAAGAATGGCCCAATAGCACCACTAATGTGGCGCTTTGTAGATGCAGTGGAGTGCACATAAATCCCTCGGGTCTCTCGGGTCTTTTCGCACTCCAACCGAGATAATAGGGCCGCATCGTTGTCTTTGACTGCCAGTCACATCTGTAGGAACAACTTGGGATGTCTCGCATTTGTTCATGTACATCTGAGGCAAGACACTCTGTCCTTCTGAAGCCCTGAGGCTTCTTTGTGGTCACACACTGGTGCTAAAGAGTAAAAAACCAATCAGAAACAGCTGAATGGACAAAGTAAACCACAACAATAGAAGCTCAAGGTGTTTTTGTGGTTGCTAATGTAAAATATATGCGGTGAAAACCATTGTACATGGAACAAGAGTGGATTTGGTCCAAGTCGGCTGGACTTGGCTATAAACTGGCATTCATAACACCAGTAGAAACTGTTAATGGTCTATATATGCCAATCATTTGTGAGGTTTAGAGTTACCCTGGTCTGTTAGCTCAGAACTGTTAGAGGTTACAAGACTGTTGGCTCTCTATCAGAGGTTTTAAAGTGCTTTACACTAGGGATGCGCATTGGTGTGGTTAAATTCGCTGTTTGACTTTGCTAAGTGATGTTTAGAGGGTAGGTTTTCACTCAGGAAACAGATCTATAAAGAACTGCTCAATCCAAGACTGTTTGCCTGATTTTAAGGTGTCATTTAGGCTAATGAGCATCTGATTGATTTTCCAGTTAGCGTCTAATGAGCAGATCTCTGGAGGCGGTACTTCAGATTTGGCCAATCGGGCCTCATTACCGTCACCCTGACAGTGCTGGAACGTGCTTGTTTTAGGAACATCATAGTTCCCTTGCGGCTGTATTGTTACACTTTAACTTCTTCACAGATCACACCAACCAATCAGTATCAGTTCTCTAAATGGTGCTCGAACCCATGTTATCTTCTATACAGCCATATTTAACTTTGGCATAACTGCTTCAGGGCTTTCTGAGTCATTTGTCCTTTTCTAAATCATATTTCTACAAACTGTTGTTTATCAGGGTTACTTATCCGTGTATATAATCAAATCATTTGTTCCTGAGTTTGTTGATTCAGTGAATTATTGCGCTAATTTGAAGATTGCAAAGAGGCTCTCAGGTGTTTTTTTGTTGTTGTTTTTTTAAAGGAGAATAGGAGTAGCAGGACAGCCTGGAGAACGGGAAAGAAGACGTGGGAGGGGGTGCGGGGGAGCGAGAGATTATCTGGAAGAAGAGAGCGAGCGTGTTGGAGAGGGAGAGCGAGCTGGAGAGGCAGAAGCTGGAGGAGGAGAGGAGGAACACTGTGGGACACACGGTGTGGAGGCTGAGGGAGGGATTCCAGGAGAGGAAGGATAGAGAGGAGGATAGAATTAAAGGGACGAGCGCAGAGGGCACGAAAGCAGCGCAGCCGGAGGTGATCTGGAAAAGACGTGAGGAAGAGGAGGAGAAAGATAGGGATAGAGCTCGGCTTGGCGACAGAGGTCCCACAATCATCTGGAGGAAGAGGGAAAGGGAGTGACAGGAAAAGATGGGGATGTGTCAGCTCTAAGCTCTTTCAGATGTGTGACAGGATGTGAGGTGCAGATTTAGACTTATGGTACAAATAAACCTGCATGTACTCAGACTTCATGTAATCTAGGTGCTAGATAGTGTATATTAGGTCCCCTTTTTATATATTGTATGAAATTAAGTGTTGAATTTAAGTCTGGCGTATAGTAAAATCTGTATAGTATCATATTAATATATTTATATATATGATGCTTAAAACCCATTAAAATAATCATTATTATGTACAGAATCAAAAACTCGTATGTTACATTTCAGTTTTATTTATTAATAATGTTGAAGGAAAAATGAAACATTTAGCTGCACTTTAGCTTCTGAACTTCAGATTTAGCTTAATATTGTATGCAAAATTTCATTTTTCCCCCCACAAAAATAGGATAGTTTCAAAATAAATTGATGATTAACAGACCTCCTAAAGGTCAGTGTACCCCTTGTTGTAGATCCCTGGTGTAAATTTTTTAACACCTGGACTAAATTAAGTCTTTATACCAAACGATGAGGATTATGTTGATTGGCGCCCGTCTAATCATCACTGAGCGCAGCAGTTTGAATCATCATTAAATGATCCACATTCACTGGATCAGTACTTTTAGCATTTTCCATCCATCTCTTCCCGCTCTCTTCCTCTCTCACTCTATCGATCCGTCTGTCTGACGGAAGCCTCCTCTCTCAAAGTCTCAGCTGCAGATAATAGGCTTTTTATGGGAGTCTGTCAGACAAGAGTTAGTAGAGTGGAGCCCAGCACATGCAAAGAGAAATGAACACGCACGTAAACACACTCGCATGCATATAAAACACAATAGCACTCTCTTTCACACATCTACCAAGACGGATTGTGTCTGGAGCACTTATGTATGACTATACCAATAACTTCATGACAGTCATACTATATTTAGTAATTCATGGTGTCCTGAGAAGCTCTATGCAGACTTAAGATCTGATGCAAAACCTAAACGCTGTGTATGACAACAGCAGAAAACTTTATTACTTTTCTGCATCTGTCTTTTCGTCTCTTTTCGCATCCTGTTTTTGATACTTTCCGGACTGAACGGTCAGCACACTGTCATCTCTCTGGTGCGATGATGAAGGAATCGGTAGATGCAGAGAAAAAGAGGACTTTAAAAGACAAGGGAAAACAAGTTATCGATTGCGATAGAGCGACGTGGAGAGACAATTAAGGACGTTTAGTGGACACTGAGACGGCTGAGACATCATGGAGCTCGTCCCCAAAACCAAATACACGCACTTCAGGAGCGACTCCTTCAGCTCAACAGACGAGACGGCGTCCAATCCCTCTCTCCCTTCTTCTGCTCCTCTCACCCCTCTCACCCCTCCTGGCATCCCTCCTTCTCTCTCCTCCTCGTCCCTCACTCCCATCCTCCCCCCTTCGTCTCCACGGCAGGCTGAAAACAGCCCCACCACCCTCTGCTCCTTTTTCCCCAGGATGGGAGCCCTGCGGCTGGGTGTGTCTTCCGCTCTGCTCCCAGGCCTGAAGGCCTCCAGCAGGCCGGCTAGCGTGCCTGGTGGTCAGGGAGGTTTGGGAGAGTCTCCGGAAGACACTCGGACCTCCACCGCCAACTCTTCTCCTCCTCCTCCTCTTCCTCTCCTTTCTCTAACAGCCCCATCTCCTCCTCCTCGTCCCCCACAGGATATGAACCGGCTGGGTGGGGCCTCGCGGAGGGCCCGTGTGGAAGGGAGCCAGCTCGGCGGAGATGAGTGGACGCGGCACGGATCCTTCGTCAACAAGCCCACCCGAGGCTGGCTGCACTCGGACAATGTGGTCAGCACATCTGGGGTCTCCTACACTGTCAGGGTAAGATGCATGTATGGGTCTGTCCATCCAGTTTTCTGTCCACTTACCACCCCTGGTTTCTTTTCTGGTTGTTTTTCCCTTTTTTACCTTTGCATTGATTTAATTAGTGATGTGCATAGTCAAACACACTCCTAACCTATTAAGCTTTGTTGCATAATTTGTTTTACACTGTTTGGACTGCGGCCAACTTGTTGAAGAGAGTGGTGGACGATAAAAAAGACAAAGAAATCTCATAGACTTACATTGAACCAGGAACTTAAGTCATATCTGGAGTCTAGATTATCATAGAGACTTGGACCACCCAACCATCTAGAACTCCATAGTAAACAACCAAACAATGCCCTAGAACAGTGCTTCTGGTGCCCCCTCAACAGTGCACACTGTATGTTTCCATAGTTAAACACATCTGATTCAGGTCATCAGCCTATTCGTGGAGACTCCAAGACCAGGGCTGTATCTGAAATTGCCCCCACACCCTCATTGCCTATTACCTACATTACTCCACTAATATAGTCCACTAAATGAGTGAATGAAAACGAGTGTGTGAATTCGGACACTGGGTGCACTGGAAGATCTGCAGACGCCATTTTCTGCAAGATATGCATGAGTGTTCTCTAGTGGCTAGACATTGAGTGTACATCAGTTGAATACCCTTACATTGTGGGAATGAATCAGTGCCCTTGATAATTTCCACTATGGTTTCAGACACCACTACACATGGCTGTCCACTTAAGAAGTGCACTATATAAGGGAATAGAGGGTGATTTCTGTGGAAGCCCGTTTCCGCCACTGAATAAAAAATAAAAGAGCTAATTGCGACTTTTTATCTCACAATTCTGACTTTTTTTCTCAGAATTGCGTGATATAAACTCGCAATTGTGAGTTAAAAAGTCATAATTGAGAGATATAAACTCGCTATTGCGAGTTATAAAGTCAGAATTGTGAGATATAAACTCGCAATTCTGAGAACATATCAGTCTTTTCCCCCCCCTCAAAATTGGACTTTAACTCGCAATTGCGAGTTTATATCACGCAATTCTGAAAAAAAGTCAGAATTGCGAGATATAAACTCGCAATTGCGAGAAAAAAAGTCAGAATTGCGAGTTTTTATCTCGCAATTGTGACTTTATATCTCGCAATTCTGACTTTATATCACGCAATTCTGAGAAAAAAAGTCAGAATTCTGACTTTATATCTCGCAATTCTGACTTTATAACTCGCAATTGCGAGTTTATATCTCACAATTCTGTGAAAAAAAGTCAGAATTGTGAGATAAAAAGTCGCAATTACCTTTTTTTTATTTTTTATTCAGTGGCGGAAACGGGCTTCCATAGATTTCAGACACAGCCCATAACAACAGTAAAAAAATGTTTTTAGTCACAGTTTTACACTACTACTACTACAAATAATTTATTAAAACATCTGTACATGAAAAGTGGGCTGAAATGTATTTATTTTTAGTTTGTTTGTTTGTTTGTTTTTATTTACTTATTTTTTTGTTAATTTAAAGACCCACCCATATACTATTTCTGTTGGGAGCAGGGTTTGGGCAAAACATTAATTTGAAGATGATAAGCATTACTTGTTAATTTCTGAAAATTTTCGTGGGTATTATAATGATGATGTTGTTGATGATGATGATGATGATGATGATGATGATGGTTATTATTATTATTATGTTATTATTATACCTTCATGTCCAAGCGGCGATAGGATTTTTTTAATATATATAATTCAGCCCTAATGTTGATATAATTGTTGGTTAACAGTTTGGAGTTCTGCTGCTTTTCAGTTCTCTCAGTGAGTCCATTTTATCTGCTTAATGGATTGCTTTCTTTCATGTGTGGCATTTTCAGATGAATCCAAGCCTACGGGCAGGAACTACATTGAGAACTGCTTTATTTGATTAGTGCTTCATAATTAGAGCATCAATTCTCATAAAACACGTACACATACACATACACATACACACAGACACACTTAACCACATGCACTACAGCTGCCTGGCCAACTCAATAATCTTGACACAAGGCAACTGTGCAACACTTAACCATATTCTGTTCTCTAAATTGTGGTTGGAGGACTAGCACGAGAAGTGCTGTGACTGAAGGTTTGTCGTCTTTGTCTTTGCTGCAGTATATGGGCTGCGTGGAGGTGCTGCAGTCAATGAGAGCACTGGACTTCAACACCAGAACTCAGGTTACCAGGTAACACACGCACACACACATTCACTCTTGCTTGCACTTCCTCTCATATTCGCTCAAGTATCCAGTGTATGTATATCCACAGTGTCCCACAGGAGTGATTTAATCGTTCATTCTCTCCACATCCTAATGCACATGTGCACGAACATATACACTCTCTCGCACGGGTCCGGTTAAAAGCTCCTCCTCTGATGAAAAATTCATGTTGCTCTCTCACAGAGTGTGACAGAAAGAGAACGCAGGAGAAAAATACTAAAATAATGAACATACATAACCATCTTCTCATTCTCACAGCCATTCGGTTTCTTGTGTTCTCACACTTTTGGGATTTAGTACTGCAGAACACTTGCCATATTAAACCACATCATTTGCAAAATGCACCTACACTGAAATGCAGTGCTTTCGCATGCAAGAAAGAGAACGGGGAAGAAGGGAGGCGTTATAATGGCATCAGCCCTGCTGTGTAACCATAAAGTCTTATAATAGAATCCTCTGGTTTCCTCCCTTTTCCGTGTGTTCGTGTGTGCATTTGTTAATGGATGCTACACACATTTGCTTCTCAATATTGACAGTAGCAGCTGCTCGATAAACTGTTTTCATGCAGTGAACACTGTTTTTCTGGAGGGTGAAATGCAGTCAAGGAAAAACATTAGGAGGGTGTGCATGAGTTATTATAGTTATAGTATATAAAAAAAAATTAAATAGGGATGCCCTGATATTACATATTTGTGGTTGACCCAAAACCCTAACTAATTATTTTCATGTTATAGTCGATAACTTAAAAAAAAAAAAGAAGCAATTTAATAATTTTATACTATTATTTTTTTTTTATAAATTAAAATTAAAACACTAAAAAGCATTCACTTTATATGCTGCCACTTAGTCATCACAAGGCTGCAATTTAATTAAATAAATAAATGTCCAGCATGTTTCAGAGTGAAGCTTTTCAGATTTGTTCCCCAAATTGTGCAGCCCTACATATAATATAACCTTATTATAATGTGCAGATTAAAAAAAATTATATTAATTTTGTTATTTATTGGTGTTGAATGTTTAAAGATGACAGCCTTATGACTTGTTCTGCCTATGACAATATGTAAAAAAAGTGCATTATACAAACAGTGATTGTAAATACAGTGGTGTGAAAAAGTGTTGGCCCCCTTCCTGATTTCTTATTTTTTTGCATGTTTGTCACACTTTAATGTTTCAGATCATCAAACAAATTGAAATATTAGTAAAAGATAACACAAGTGAACACAACATGCAGTTTTTAAATGAAGGTTTTTATTATTAAGGGAAAACAAAAATCCAAAACTACATGGCCCTGTGTGAAAAAGTGTTTGCCCCCTAAACCGAATAACTGGTTGGGCCGCCCTTAGCAGCAACATCTGCAATCAAGCGTTTGCGATAACTTGCAATGAGTCTGTTACAGCGCTGTGGAGGAATTTTGGTCCACTCATCTATGCAGAATTGTTGTAATTCAGCCACATTGGAGGGTTTTTGAGCATGAACCGCCTTTTTAAGGTCATGCCACAGCATCTCAATAGGATTCAGGTCAGGACTTTGACTAGGCCACTCCAAAGTCTTCATTTTGTTTTTCTTCAGCCATTCAGAGGTGGACTTGCTGGTGTGTTTTGGATCATTGTCCTGCTGCAGAACCCAAGTTCGCTTCAGCTTGAGGTCACGAACAGATGGCCGGACATTCTCCTTCAGGATTTTTTGGTAAACAGCAGAATTCATGGTTCCATTTATCACAGCAAGTCTTCCAGGTCCTGAAGCAGCAAAACAGCCCCAGACCATCACACTACCACCACCATATTTTACTGTTGGTATGATGTTCTTTTTCTGAAATGCAGTGTTACTTTTACACCAGACGTAATGGGACACACACCTTCCAGAAAGTTCAACTTTTGTCTCGTCAGTCCACAGAGTATTTTCCCAAAAGTCTTGGGGATCATCAAGATGTTTTCTGGCAAAACTGAGACGAGCCTTTATGATCTTTTTGCTCAGCAGCGGTTTTTGACCATTTTTGCCCAGTCTCTTTCTTATGGTGGAGTCATGAACACTGACCTTAACTGAGGCAAGTGAGGCCTGCAGTTCTTTGGATGTTGTTGTGGGGTCTTTTGTGACCTCTTGGATGAGTCGTCGCTGTGCTCTTGGGGTAATTTTGGTCGGCCGGCCACTCCTGGGAAGGTTCTCCACTGTTCCATGTTTTTGCCATTTGTGAATAATGGCTCTCACTGTGGTTCGCTGGAGTCCCAAAGCTTTAGAAATGGCTTTATAACCTTTTCCAGACTGATAGATCTCAATTACTTTCTTTCTCATTTGTTTCTGAATTTCTTTGGATCTCGGCATGATGTCTAGCTTTTGAGGATCTTTTGGTCTACTTCACTTTGTCAGGCAGGTCCTATTTAAGAGATTTCTTGATTGTGAACAGGTGTGGCAGTAATCAGGCCTGGGTGTGGCTAGAGAAATTGAACTCAGGTGTGATAAACCACAGTTTTAACAGGGGGGCAAACACTTCTTCACACAGGGCCATGTAGTTTTGGATTTTGTTGTCCCTTAATAATAAAAACCTTCATTTACAAACTGCATGTTGTGTTTACTTGTGTTATCTTTGACTAATATTCAAATTTGTTTGATGATCTGAAACATTAAAGTGTGACAAACATGCAAAAAAATAAGAAATCAGGAAGGGGGCCAACACCTTTTCACACCACTGTAAATCAGACCATTCAATCAATCAGATTTAGAATCAATTACACCACTGATTGAAATAATGATCCGTAATTTTGTAGCATTTTTGTTTATATTTTAGTGAATATTTATAATTGCAAAATAAAATAAATACATTTATAATTGCAGATTAATTGCAAAATAAATAATAAATCTATTTTTCACTCTTGTACATTTATGTTTTTAATAGTTTTTGTTAAAAGTAGTCATGGGGCCAGATTTACTAAACAGGGCAAATTAGCGTGAGAGCACAATTCCAAAAAAGCAGTAATGGGAGTGGAAATTTCTGTGGGTGATTTACTTGCAATGCGCAAATTAAAGAACACAGACGCAGCAAGATAATTTCCATAATGACCAACACAATCTACCAAGAGCCGCTCAAATTAGCGTCAAATATTGGCACAAATACCAATAATTTGACGAGCGCAAATTTTAGTAAATTGCGTTGCGTGATTCATTTTAATACTCTCCTCCCATAAATTTTGCGTCTGAAAGGGAAACTCCTACAAATGCATATTCAATAAGGTCAGGCGCAAAAATAACTGTTCATGCCTTTTCGGTGCTAATTCTTCAGTGCGCGTCTTTAGTAAATATTGACAGTACTATTTTAACGCCAAAAGACGGTTTGTGCTGGCGCAGGCTGTTAGTAAATCTGGCCTTGGTGTTTTTGTTTGCATGTCTGCCTGATGCATGTGTGAGATGGCAGGAAGTGTAATGGCTGGAGCATGTGTCTAATGTAATAGTCCCTCAGCCATATGAAATTTGGGAATGCATGAAAAGGAGTGTGATGGAAACTCTCATCTAACAATCTGATTATGTTCTTCTCACAGTCCCAGCATGTGTGTACATTTATAACCGTTTGTTTTGTATTTCAGAGAGGCAATATCAGTGGTGTGTGAGGCAGTACCAGGTGCCAAAGGAGCTCAGCGAAGGAGAAAGGTATTCAACGCTTTATCTTATCTTAGGCTACGTTTACACGACAAGGGTGTAGTCAAAAACGGAAACGTTTTCAAAGCGATTCGCGTTTACACATATCCGCGAAAACAGCCAAAAACGCTGTATTACGTATGCCAGGCCAGTAGTTGGCGCTGTCACCTTGTTAGTAAACAGTACCTGTAGGGAAGTGAAGATTATATGATGTATATGATGCGTCTCCGCTGTTGGTTGTAATATTGGTGAAGTAAATCCACACTTTGCTGAAGTACCATATACTCCGCCATTGTTGTGTATTTTTGTTCGCGCTTGCATTTAAAATTGACACGTACTGCACATGTCTACATACCTAACACATACTACACATGCGCATGACGTCACCATTTTCAGAGATTCCCATACTGGGTGTTTACACGGAAGCGACAACGGTGGCATTTTCAAAACTTGCACTTTGAAACCCGTTTTCAAAAATATGCGTTTTCAGTCCCCAAAATGCCATTGCCGTGTAAACGAACAGTCAAAACGCATAAAAAGTTTCCCGTTTTTGGCTGAAAATGTTGTCGTGTAAACGGCCCCTTACTTTCTCAGACACAGACTTTCAAGCTCGCAATATATTTGCACTTTTGTTAGTTACAGGTACAGCTCACAAACCTCACAGTGTTCTAGTTAGGCCTGACCAGTTTCCAGTAAAAATACTGCTATGTTATGTATAACACACATTCACACACGTTTGCTCAAGAGTTGTCTCAGCTGGTCGGACTGTGGTATTTGGTTTATGGTTGGTTTCAGAGGTTGTGGGAGTGCAAGACCTCTTTCGATTTGCTTATATGGTTTGTGTGTGAGTGAGGAGCAAAAGTCTGTCCCGGTTATGATCAACACAGGCCTGTTTCACACAACACGCATGAATAGTGTGTTAAGCGGAGCATCAGCGTAACTGCTGCATCCGACTTGTGTTGTGCTTTCACACTGACAGCATTGCTACAGTGGCTCTGTACAGAAAATAAAATGATTTCTGGGTTATCATGTTGAGTTTTTGTTATTGGTAGTATGCCACTAAGTCTATTCAGAGGGGATCACATTAAAATAGTAATTTACACAAACCTAAAACCAAACCACAAAGTGTAGGTTTACTCAGTAGTGTTGTTGCGTTGTGTTGTGTTGCTGCATGTGGAACTAGTTTATGCTGGTATTTCACATTGCTTCATTAAAGCCTATGTTGCAAAATTGTATTTTTAATAATATTTGGTTGAGTTTGTAACATCAAAAATGGGTTCAGCACAGATACCTCATTCACAACTACACTACTCGTCAAAAGTTTGGAATAATTAATGGAATAATTAAAGTAGTTTTTTTTTTTAAGTTTTTGAAAGTAGTCTCTTATGCTCAACTAAGCTGGATTTGTTTGATCAGAACTACAGTAAAAACAATAATAGTGTGAAATATTATTAAAATTTTTACAACCATTTTCTATATGAATATATTATAAAGTGTTATTTATTCCTGTAATGGCAAAGTTGATTTTTCAGGAGCCATTACTCTAGTCTTCGGTGTCACATGATCCTTCAGAAATCATTCTGATTTGCTGCTTAAGAAACATC